TGTCGTTGGAAAGATTGAGTCGAGAGCATCGAAATGATATATGATTTGTTCAAATCTACCAATGGTAGAGGGCCGACGAGCGGCCAAAGTTGGCGGATGGTGGGGAATGATCGCCTTAGAACTCCGATACACTTTTAATTTAATATCCCCTATTTTTAAGTATTTTATTTTTATATACATGAGTTTGAAATTATGTATAATCATCCTTTTTTATGAATTAATAAAAATAAACTAAAGTAAGGAAATATATGTATTTCGCATACTACGACGAGGAAATAAAACTTTTTTTTTCTCGTACATTCAATATATGGTTGAAATTGATGTTTTGGGCTTTTGGCTAATTTGATGGTAAGATAGTTTGGAGCGAAAGTGTAGGAACATTATCTGGAGTGGCACGAATTCTTCTCAAAAGATTAGTCTGGTCCCTTGGTCTGAGGTGTGCCGACCAAAGGAAGGAGGAGGTCTAAGGATAAAAGAACAAAGGCTAATGAACCGGGATCTACTTATGAAATTAGCCTGGCGTTTCCTAAAAGATCCCAACTTACTTTGGTGTCGACTGCTTCGAGCCAAATATAAGTTGCACCCGTCCACGATAGAGGAAGATTACGAGTTTCTCTAGGGCTCGATGGTCTTCAGGTTGATTAGAGATGTGCGGAAAGATACGCTGGTTGGAAGTCGATGGTCGGTAGCCAATGGCCACACTGTTCTTTTTTGGTGGAATCCTTGCTCTACTTGAAAGTCGCGGCGTTCGTTCGGCCAGATGGAGGGTGGAACAGGCCGATGTTTCAGGGCCTACTGTAGGCCGCAGCTTTGCTCCGGATCTCGGCCATACCAGCGTTGCACGAACACGAAAGTGCGAATGTTCTGTTCTAGGGCCCTTCTGTTGATGGTCAGTTCGCCACTAAGTCTGCCTACATGACGCATAAACAGCCCTCAGAGAGTCGACGAGATCAGTTATGGACAATAATATATAAGCGGGTAGGCCCGCAGAGAGTTCACCATTTTTTGTGGCTAGCGGCTCGTGATGCTTTGTAGACGAACGCTTCTCGATTCCGACGACATTCTGCATCTAGCTCGGCCTGTTCCCTTTGCTCGGCAGCCTATGAGTCCATGCTCTATGCTATTCGCGATTGTCCTACGGCGTCATCCACCTGGAAGCGGCTGCTTCCCCGTGATCACTGGCGGGTTTTCTTTTCCCTCGATCTAAGGGGTTGGCTATTAGGCAATTTTGCTGGTGATTTGAGCAAGGCCTGTGAGAATTGGGTGTCGGTCTTTGGCATTACGGCATGGCATTTGTGGAGGTGGAGGAACCTAAAAATCTTCCAGGGATCTGATATTCCCACGTCCCAACGCATTGGCAAAGTGTTCTCTTTCATTGATATGGGGCGATGCGCATTGGAGGAGAGTCGGTGTGTTGGAGCGCGTGGTGCTCGAGAACTGCGTTGGATTGCATGGGAATGCCCGACAGAAAATAAGATGAAGGTAAATACAGATGGGAGTTTTGATCCATCGACAGGGATGGCGAGTGCCGGTGGTGTGAATCGGGATCACCATAGGAACTGGGTACATGGCTTTTTAATGAATATTGGGTTTTGCTCGATTATTGGAGCAGGGCACTGGGGACTGTTTCAGGGTTTATCGTTGGCCTGGGATGTCGGTGCACGGAAAGTGCAAGTTGAAGTCGACAATAAGAGTGTCATCAACATGGTCCAGAATGACAACCATGGCGGGCCTCATGGGGGTATATGGAGGGGTATTAAGGCTCTTTTGAGTCGGGATTGGGTAGCGGTGATTTGGCATAGTTTTCGTGAGGCAAACTTTGTGGCGGATTACTTGGCGTCGTTGGCGACTAAGGGTCCGGTTGGGCTTCAGCGGCTTGATTGTCCTCCGCTGGGGGTGTGTATATGGTTGCATCATGATAGGATGGGCTTCTCTCATCCTCGGTCAGTTCTAGTTTAGGCTCGATGTAGCCTCCTTTCTCGTACCAAAACAAAAAAAAAAAAGAATTGAACTCGTCAAGTATAATAACAATAATCTTTATAAACTCCCCCTAGTGTGCATTTATGTAGTAGTCACTATCCTAACCACTAGTTGTAAGAATTTGATATTGGTCTGACCGGATATTATCGATTGGTTCCTCTTCTTCTTCTTTTTTTTTTCAAAACGATAGAAGTTTTATAAAAAAAACAAACAACAATCAGAAGTAGCCAAGCAACCACCTAGATGAATCTAGTGAGAGGACAACTCATAGGGCAGCCTAGACACCACAAGGGACGTGTCAAAACAGGGGGATGAGTCGGTGTCGGCTTCAATCCTGCCCCCCGAAGGCCCGACGGACTGGACCTGCCACCCCGCCCTCACTGTCGGAGAGCCGCCCTAAAGCACCACCACAGCCGCCCAATCTGAGGAGAAGCGCCGCGTCGAAAAAGACGAACTCAATAGAGGAAAGAAAGGCGGGGGCCACGATCGGGTCGATCATCTTCGCGAGCTATTGGAGCGCCAACTGAAAGGGGGCAGGCTGAAGAGGAAGAGGACGAGGGTTCGGCGGAGGAATTGGGGGCTTCTGTCCGAGGAGAAAAAGTCTATTGGAAAAAATTGCGACCTATCACTAGAAAAAAAAATGAGATTCCGGCTTGTTCCTCTTCAGATAATCAATTGTGAAAGAATCGGTCTTATACATGGTCGGTTGGACAGACGTTTGAAATAATTTTAATTTTTTAATATAGATAGAATGCAATTAAAAACTTTAGATATGTATATAATTATATCAACTACTTTAGGCATTTCATGTGTTGCATATTCTAAATATTTATCTAATGATGTTTTATAATATTTATTATCTAAAAGTGTTAATTTCATATTTAAGAATATTAATAAACAAATAACGATTCAACTACTGATTCAATCAATGAACATTTACATTATATCCAATGATTATCCTGATTTTTTTATAACCTTCTTGTTAAAAAAAATCATTTATTTAAATATTTTTGATTGATTTTAAAATCTATTTTTTGTTGTATTATATTGTAAAAAAAAAAATTCTATATTGCGAGTAGATTTCATAGTATATTTATTTTTTCAAAGTTCATTTTTGGTGAGTGAAAAATATATAATTATAGTTAGTCATTAATCAGCATCAAAATTTGATTACCGAAAGTTAGAAAAAACTCTCGCATTAAACTCTTAAATTAGTATAACTCTACTTATTATAATAAAAAGAATTGGAGATGTCACAACAACTAAAGTTATGCATCAAGTGTAAGTGTTTGGCGTCTGCCACAAGCGCACCATCCAACCAGCTTGGCTACACACGGGTATGGGTCTCCGCCTTGAACCTTGCTCCTTGAAAATTGGACTGTGAGTTGAACTTTAGCGGCCTTGGATGATATGGATCGATATTGAAAATGGACCCATCCCGTTTAATTCGTGTACTACAAATTTATTTGCAATTATCTGGCCTAAATTAAAACCCAGTTATGTGAAATTTTTTTTACCGTCCATAGGTTTGTATTCAGGCCAATTTACATGCATGCTTTAGTGATTTATAAAATATTGTATAAATACAAAAACATACTTTATTTGCAGTAATACTACCTTAACATAAATATTTTGGTAAGTACTATATATTAAAAACGGACCAACAAACGAAAGAGTTACCATGTGAAGAATCTCGTAACTGAATGTCATTCATTAACTAAAAAGTATCAAACGCACTGCCATTATGAGGACCTTCGTGGTGACATTGTTGGAAGAATTGACGGCCGCGTGAAGAGCGGAGGTGCAGGGTCGGAACATGGAATTGAGGAGAGGGTAGGCTGGGATTTCGTCCAACCGGAGAAGATGGCAGCGATGTCCCACCCGGGTAATGGCAATTATACCACCGGAGAAGAGCGGTGAAGGGGCGAATGACGCTGGAGAAGATGGCAGCGATGAGGAGATAAGAAAGATGGGCGATAAAATTAACTGACCAATGAATATTTTCCATATATATTGAGTTTGTACTCAGTATATCTATTCACAAAAAGTAATCCACAATGAAAAAATAAACACACAACAGGACTACAAATAAAAACGAAACTAAATCCATTAATATGAATTTCCAAAAACAACATGAACAATAATCAATAAGAAAAACAAACAAACAAACCGCTCAATTGTCGTCTCATATCAATTTTCTCATCAACAAAAAAATTTGCTAATATACAAAAAATAAACTAGAAATAAACATAACATAAACATTGAAGCTAGGCCCGATCGGAACTACTCGCATGTCGTCGACTCGAAAGCTCCACCACCAACGGCGACCGACCGGGATTCTTCAACTCCATCACTCTCTGCCCCGGTGACTTTTGCAGAGAGGAGGCTTGTGTGGGATATACTCTCGAGGTCAGAAGCCACTAGCCTCCCATCATCCACTCGAACTGTACGGCCCTTTATCGAGGTCGAGGACTTTGCTTTACGCGTCCTAAAGTTCGTGGCCAACCAATTTTGCCGTCTCCACAACAAGCGGCTACAACACACTTTTCTGTTTTACTCCCACCACTGACGCACGTGGGCCGCTTACTTCATCGCAGCTGCACTGCTACCGACGTTATGCGAGGGATCGACGTCGGCCATTTTCGTGCTTGTATTTTTTTGCGTCGACAAAGGAAGGGGGAAAAAATCAAATTGATGATGATGGCGTGAAGAGAAAAGTAATGGAGAAGGTAATGGTTATGGGAAATTACACACATTAGAATCCCAATAAATCAGGAAGTTGAATGGTTATGGGAAATTACACACATTATGTGGAGGTGGCTAGGCCCTCAACGTATTCGCACCTTCCTTTGGCTCCTCGTGAAACAGCAGCTGCTCACTAATGTGGAGCGACAGCGGCGCCACCTCACAGTCGATACCGTGTGCAGTTTTTGTGCCCAGGCGGACGAAACAATTATACATGTCCTCCGGGATTGCAAGTTGGCCGCAGATATTTGGAGGAGATTGCTACCGGCAAACCACTAGGCCGCTTTCTTTGCGCAGCAGATGGGCCCGTGGGTAGCTTCGAACCTCTTGCCGAAGTCTGATGTTGGAGACGAGAACTGGGACAGAACCTTCGGGGTTGTGGTGTGGAAGTTGTGGAAGTGGAGAAATGAATTTATCTTTCAGGGGAAGTCGAGAGATCTTGAGAGTGGAATGCGTGAAATTGTTGCATATATAGATGGGCTGAATATGCTTAATAAGTGTGACACGAAGCTTGGTGGATCGGGACATCTGAGGGTGCCGTCTTGGGTTAAGTGGGTGCGTCCGCCGATGGGATGGGTTAAGGTTAACTCGGATGGCTCCTTCAATGGGATGACGGGCTTGGGATGCGCTGGCGGCCTTATCCGCGACGAACTAGGTCGTTGGCTTGGTGGTTTTACTATGAAGATTGGTTCTTGCTCGATCATGGGGGCGGAACTATGGGGACTATTTCAGGGACTTAGCTTGGCTTGGAATTGGGGGTATCGATTTGTGGAGGCAGAGGTGGACAGTGAGAGCGTGGTGAAGTTTTCTGCTTCCCCTGAGGAGGTGCCAGGGGTGCATACCAGTCTGATTTTGGGTATTAAAGAGCTTTTGAGCCACCCTTGGCAGGTCAAGGTGCATCATGTGTTTCGTGAAGCGAATTTCGCTGGCGACTGTTTGGCTTCCTTAGCGACTGAAGGAGCCGTGGGATATCACTTCTTCCCAGAACCGCCCGATGGGGTTCGGCAATGGCTGTTCCATGATATTAGTGGAGTTTCGTATTCGAGGAACGTATGTGACTCAGTCGTAACGTAGAAGCGTTAGACTCTTTCTTTGTACCGTTGCGTTTCCAAAAACAACCCTTTATTAATAAAAACAGGTTATAAAAAATGTGTGTATCTCGTATATGTTCTATTATTTTTGTCACATATATCATGTTCGTAAATAATTTCTTTTATTAGTATTTACGCAATATCTTTAGTTTTCGTTGGTCCATACTGCAATGTTCTCTTGTATTTAACAATAAAATACAAAATAAAATAAAAGATGAGAGATCATCAGGCAGATAGACCTTTGGTGTGAGTTTCTCAATGCATAATTGGATACAAGTTATTTTAGATTTGACTAAATTTATTAGATAAACTAAAGTAATTTCGAAAAAAGCTTATTAAGTTTGGTTTGAGCGGGATTTTAAGTTCGTAGTAATGTAATATTTAAAATGTAATAATTAAGAGCGTGCATGGATACAAAATATCCATATTTTTTTTCTCAAAACAATAGATCAGATAAATAAAAATACATATTTACATCTAGATACAGCTAAGAATAACCAAACAGTCATTCAACTTAATCTAATGGAGGTCTACTCAAGGAGCCTAGATAACTAACAGTACAAACAAACTATACACTCCTACACGGGATAATCAATCTTCTAAAGAAAAGACGAAACAAAAGTCAATCTGCTGCAATCCACGGCTTGACACCCATAGTACAAATAAACTATATATTTTCCCTCCAACAACCAATTCGCTACAATCCACGGCTCGACACCTATAGACGACCGCACAAAGGATAGAACCGTAGCCCAAGAACTGACCCAGAGACTCAAGCAAGCGGCTACCTGGTACCGCAAATGACCAAACTCCTCTCCAAACAGCCACCCACAGACCAACAACCGGAGGACACTCCCTTTCTCCCCGTCAACCCACCGGCGACCCCAGCCCCACCACGGGTCGGGACCACAGCCTACCCACCATAGCCAAAATTGACAAGCATCATGAAACTAAAAAGTTGAAAAGGATAGAGATACTTCCCAACCAGAAAGCAAAGTTCCTGCAGATGGTATACTTAGTGTAAGCGAGCTCTAAGATCATACCTATGGAATAAAATCCTGTTAGCAAAGGAAATTCAATTAAGGATGAGCTGCCCACGAGCATCATGGCATAGGTAAAAAGGAACAATGAGGCAAACGCCCCATCTTCGCATATCTTGCTCATCTGACATAGCATGAATCACCGAACCTACACTCAGGAATAGTAATGCTTTGAAAAAGGCGTGATACATTAAGTGAAAAATGTTAACCGAATAGTTGGAGATGTCACAAGAGACAGGGACCTTACCTCAACCCTAACCAACTCTCGAGAGATGGCTAGGGTTAGCCGATCGACCCACTTCGACGCCCGTCGAAACCCACTCTGCCACCCATAGGCAACCGACGGTTGCGGCGAAGCTCTACATCGGGGAAGGGATGAAGATTCCCAAGTCCTAATAAAATGAGCCGCTCGAGCCGGTGATGGTCCGGGCCATGGCGCCTCAGATTGAGTGGTTGTGATGAGGTGGAGCTTGGGATTGAGACGAGCGAGGGTTTCGAAGAGAGGTTTTAGTGATTTTTCTGTTGAGGAAAGAGAGTCCTATTTAAAAATATATTCGCTCAAACATTTTTTTTATTATCTAGAGTTAATTTTGAAAAATGTGGTGGTAACGTCAAACACTCCGACCGGCTGAAAATCGGTTCGTCCTCTTCCTCCTCGCCTATAGAACGATGCGTACCCGATAACAACTCTTACACCGGAGGGTTTCCCCTGAAGAGCCTCTGATGCTTAAGTCAGTATTTGTTTCACTCAATACTCAAGAGTAAAAATTGGTAACTCGTGTTCAGAAAGTAAAGCTCACCCCTATATATAGGATGAGATACCTGCCCTATGAGCTGCCCGAATTTGCTGAGTTGGTTGTCCAAAATTGTCTGTTCGTACACACACAGTGTGTGTGTGTCAGAGGCGGTTATCGTTATATAGCAATCATGTTGGACCACGTGTCCTCTGCACATGGGGTAAAGATTCCTCTGAAATCCCATTAAAGGCTCTCATGCTCAACCATATCTAGGTCGATCCTTTGGACTACCCTCAGTCCATGAAGTAGTCGATAAAATAACCCTTTGCTGGACAGGTCGATCTTCGACCAGATCCTTCATGGACCTGGGACTAACCTTTTCTTCATGCACTGGGATCGCCTATATCTTGTCTCCCTAGTGTTTCGATCACAATATTCTGCTTGATCCTATTCGATCAGGTCCGCCCACACGGTTCGCTCTGACTCGTTAAACCGATTGAGTGAGTCGGCCCAGTCCTGTAGGTATAATATCTCATATCATATGGTATGGTTAATTGTTAGTGGGATTTTGAGTTTATTAAAATACTATTTAATAAGAAAATAATTTAAGATGATTTAATGTAAAAGTAAGAGAGATAATATAAAGTGATGGTTAGTTAAAATTATGTGAGTGGATAAATTGCTAATTAAAGTTAATATGATGTATAAAGATTATTTATTGTTATTATTTAATTATATTGATAATATTGAAAATAGTGACTTTGAGTTAAAAGTTAAGTTATATTTTATGTATGAATGGGAATTATTATATAAACAAACATACCCTAAAGTTGATATGAGGTAAAATTAGAATAGAGGTTATTGGAAGTAATCAGTGATTAAAATTATATCAGTTGATGAATAGTAAATTAAAGTTGATGCATTATTAGTATTATTCAATTATATTAATAATCTTGAGAAAAGTTAGATCGATTTATGTTTGAGTTGGATATTAAGTTAAAAATTTATTTAGTCATAATTTTTTTTTCTTTTCTTTTTTGGTATCCAGTCATGCCCTAACAACTTTGACTTGGTTGATTGTTGGTCGCATGAATTATGAGGGAGTGTGTTTCAATAAAGAAGTCATACTCCAAAATAAATAAAATTATGAACATTTTACAATATAAACATAAATTTTAATTCGAAAAGCATTAAACTAGCAATAATAATAACTTAAAATTAATTAACATGACAAAAAGTTCAAACGGAGAGCGTACATCACAAATATATGGGACCATAAAACATAGAATCAATCAATCATAGACTCAATTATCTATCCAAAGGCACACTAATGACAAATAAAATAATTCACGAACATTATAACCATAACCACACATACACATAAACACAAAAAATATGTTGGCTTCTGTAGACAACAAAAGGAATTTACTGAAAACAAAATGTATATTATAATTTGATGGTATATATATATATATATATATAAAGTCTGTAATTGCAGTCAAGTGTAATTTGATGGATCCACGGTAAAAGTAGAGTTCTCAAATCAATTGGAAAATGGAGTTTTATTACCTGTTAATTATTAAATCATATATATATATATATATATAGGTAAAACAATTTGTATATGCGTTTTATTTCAAGTTCATTATACCAACAAAATAAAAGTGTGGGTCATGTGATTTATGTCCCTTCTTTATCAATTGGAAGATGCTGCTTTATTGTATATTAAAGACAATAAAAAGATAGCATGTATTTTTAAGAATTCTTTACCCCAGCAAAGAGTACATTGGTGATTGGTTATGCATTTAAGGGCTAATGATAAAATAACTACCTACCATGCTAACACTGCATCTGATAAATATAGCTTAAAATTTGATAAAATAGCTACCTACCACTGCAATGATAAATATAGCTTAAAAACTGATAAAATAGCTACCTACCACTGCATTTCATAAATAGAACATTACGGTATAGACTAATTAAATCAAAAAACATTGCACATATACTAATAAAATAGTTTATTTGCAAACAATTCAAAGATGTCGAAAATATTAGCACAAATACGAGATACATATTTGTGGTCAACCGTTTCTTATCTTTTAGCGGAGGGTCGAGCACCGGCGACATGACGAGGCGAATGGAACGACTACATAATCAATAAATTTTTAGTGTATGTTGCGTTTTTTTTTTTTTTTTTTTACACAAACTTTTGAATTTCGTTTATATTTTTTCTTACATTTGTTACTTATACAAGTGTTCTTCAAGATGTAAAAAAATATAATAAATTGTCCTAGTCCATTATAACCAAAATCCAATTTATATTTGGTTTATAAACTGTAATTATTTATATAACATAAAGTATATATATACAAGTGGTACAACACACAAACGTGTATAAATCACTGACAAAATAAAAGTAAATAAAAAAGACGACAATCAGATAAACTCGTGTATATTTACAATAAATAAAACAAGTTGAAATCATAATCGTGTACAAATTCTGTAAAATTCATCCGTGTTTATATTCTGTATATGTTGCGTCCACCACCATCTTGTCAAAAACAAAATGGCGATCCTCTCTTTTCAGTAAAATTCATCCGTGTTTATATTCAAAATTTGATTCCATATTTTTCGCATATCATATTTACGTGCAGCTGAAGAGATAGTGTTTACTACTATGAGAGATCTTTGATCTATTTTGTTTCAAATGTTACGTAACTGACGGATGAGAGAGAAATTATACCATTTTTAAGCCACCATTTAATTAGATAGTAAATCCCTAATATTTATCTTTCGGCTCAGCAGACGTGTAAATTGCCTTTTGACAAATATAGCTTAAAAACTAGTTGGTAGATGATAACTTAAGACTACTACAACGACCATGAACTATACAGGTGTTTAATAAGAAATTAAGTATGCAATAAAAATTTAAAATATATATATACACACACACACACATACATATATATATTCTTATTGTAAAAGAAATTATTTCGAAGTACATAAATTATTTTATATGAAATATTATTTTATATTAAATAGAATAAGTAATTTATTAACAGACAATATAGTGATCGTGAACAACATGAGTACATAAAAAAATATTGTATCAAAATTCAAAATATAGAAATAAAGAAATTTATATTCTTATAGTAGAATCATAAAAAAAATTAATTACACAACTAATAATTAAAAAGATAACAAAACTAGTTATTTAAACTGTGATGGGTCTGCTCTCAGATCTGGAACGGTTTGGTGAGAAAACGTCCGGATCTGGGATGAACCGGTATGAACGAGCTTAGATCTGGCCTGATGACCTTCGAGCCGTTGCTGAATCGTACGAACACCTGCAAGAACTCAACGCCGGAGGGTTTTTCCGGCGTAGAGCCTCCGACGCTCAAGTCAGTATGTGAGAGAGATGATGGGAGCTGCTATCAGAGCAGCAGCAGTAATAGAAATGTCTGGAATGAATGGGAGTTAGGGTTTTGGGATTACCTCAGTCCTTTATATAGGAGTACAATATATACCTGAAGTCCCCAAAATGCCCTGGCCGACTTAAAGGAAATGTCCAGAATACCCCGGTCGGTTCATATTCCGCCTACTTCCTAGTCAGCATCTAGATCCTTCCTTAGCTTCCTTCTTATCCTTAACTTTCCTTCAATATGCGGAGGTGTGTCAAAGCTATCGGACACCTCGAACTGCAAGACTCCTTCAGTCGACTCGAGGTATCGAATCGAGTCGACTGGATCGCATTCCATCACTAATGGTCCCTGATTCGTCTGATCGCTGTCGGGGCATATGTCGACTCGTTCCAGTCGACGGATACATGTCGACTCGGTCGAGAGCCGGGCTTCTTGATTGAATATCATGAAACCCTACCGGCGGAGTCGACTGTGTTATAGTCGACTTTGTCAGTTCCGAACCACGATGATATGAACCGCTATGAGCCGATTGTGACCATGCCGCGGTTACTGAACCGTGGCACGATAGTATGGCTATATCAAACTGATACTCGCATATTACACATAATTTATCAAAATAATACTCTCTCTTTCACACACACACACACATATCATTAATATATATATATTGTCTACAATTCAATAATTTGATTTTCAAATAAATTACTTTTAAGTTGTGATCATATATATATTTATATAGTTTTCTTTCCTCATCTATTATTTTTTTTAAAATATCTTCCACTTTATTATATTCAATATTAAAATATAATATGTATGAGTGTAAATTTGAAATTTATTAATACATAATTATTTTTATTACCTTTAGTTATAATATTCATTTCGATTATTTTATTTTGAATATCACTATATGTTCAATCTCTCTGTAATCTTTATTCAAGTTAAGATATAAGTATTTAGAATACGTTTTTATATTGATT